CCTCTGCCTCCTGGGTGCTGCGATTAAAGGAGTGGGCCACCATACCTGGCTTTCAAAATATTAAAAAAAAAAAAAAAATTTTTTTTTTTGGTCTTTTTGAGACAGGGTTTCCCTGTAGCCCCAGCTGTCCTGGAACTCACTATATAGACCAGTCTGACCTTGAACTCACAGAGATCCACCTGCCTCTGCCTCCCGAGTGCTGGGATTAAAGGCTTGTACCACCACATCAGCCTTTGAACTGGACTTTGAACAGCCTGAGTTTGCCATGTAAATTTATTGCAAGGATTAAATGTCTGCAAAACTCTTAGCAGAATGCCTGCGAATATCCCCTGCTGTGTCAGCTATTATTGCCATGGCCACATTTATTATAGACAAATAAGCAAGATATGAACCGTGGCAGATAGATTGCATGTGTGGCCCCCAATGAATGGCTCTCTGTCCTGTAACTTTGTAGTGCATCGCTACTCTAAATCCAGGTTTGACCATGTTACTTGTTGATAGGAAACTGGTAAACTTGATACAAGCAGGCATATGAAAAAGACTGTGTTTCTGATTCCTTTCTTGGAAACTTGCCATTGCAGGTTAGCCTGGTGACAGGATGTAGGAGACATGGAGGAGTGTCAGAAAGTGTCACCTGAGACCATCAAAGATTGGACATCCCCAACCAACATGCTAACTACGACAGACGCATGTATAAGCCTAGGGAGGATTAGCCAGCTCCACCCAGATCAGCAAGACCACCCAGCCAGTCCTGAGATTTAGCAGAAATAGTAAATGGTGGCTGGTTTTAAGCCACTGAGTTTAGAACGACTTGTTACACAGCAATTAGCAGCTGATGTGGGAAGCATGGTCACTCTTGTCCTCTGATATTGGTCGAAGCAGCTGATATTCAGAGGTAAATGAGAGAAGAAGACAGTGTCTGCAAGCTTTATTTGTACAGTCTGGTGAACTTGAAACAATAAAAGCTGCAAAAGTACTTTAGCGAGCATGGCAGTGCCACAGGGATCAGGTCCCCTGCCAGATCCTAAAGGAACCCTTTATGTTGGAGTGGCTGGGGCAGACTATGGAAAGGCAGTTAACTGGGAAAGTTTGGTGGCTTGGGTGGCAGGGCTTACTGGAGCCTGAGACCTTCAGGTTTCAGGCCCTGGGGTCATAAACTCGGCCCATGAAGACTGGGAACTTGTGCTCCTGGTCCCAGAGCAGGAAGAGGAAGGGCTGCTGCACCTCAAAGATGAGCAAGCTGCGGGCCACAGAGATGGCAGAAGCCGCAGCTGCCTCCACACCAGTCTCTGTCAGCTCCACTACTGTCTGGTGCTGCATTGCAGACACCTGAAGATCCTGGTCCTCTGTCAGTCCACACAGGTCGAGATTGTAAGTGAAGTCAAAGAATTCTAGGGCAAAACCAAAGAAAACCAAAGTCAGAGACCTGCATGAAACTCTTGGCGATGGAGACTCTTGTCTTGAATTTTCAGGGTTAGTTTCAAATCCCTATGCATTTTCTTCCTCCTCAGAGTCTACATCTTGCCTTCTGGCCTTGTTAGTGGGAACCCTCTTAGCAGCGCAACCACCATTCTCAAAGGTGAGGACTCCTTCTCTGCCTACCACCAAAGGCCCCTGAAAAATGATGTCATTGTTTCCTTGTTTCCAAGGGCTTTGGGAAAGAAGTAATCCATCAGAGGTCGATCATATGCTATAAAGAAATGAGATCATATGAGGATGTAATAAGAAATGTATACTGGTCTCTGCCCTAAATTCCTGAAAATTTAGAGCTTCTTAAAACCCTACAATTTCCTTACCAATAGAAGTGCTGGGAACACCTGTTTTTTAATTTATTTATTTTTTATTTATTTTTTCTGGGAACTGAACTCATGTATTGCCTGCATGTAGGTCAGTGCACCCATGTCATGCAATGCCCGCAGAGGTCAGAAGAAGCTGTCAGATCCCCTGGGACTGGAGTTACAGACAGTTGTTAGCTGCCATGTGGGTGCTGGGATTCAAACCCGGGTCTTCTGCAAGAACAACCAGTGCTCTTAACTGCTGAGCCATCTCTCCAGCCCCAGGGAACATCTGTTTTAATATTTGGTCTTTGATCCCAGTTCCTCAAACTCTTGTAATTCCCTAAGCAACAGAGGTATTAGGAACATCCTTCAATCTAATATTAGGTGTTTGATCCTGGTTCCTGACACCAAACTCCTAAATCTCTTGGAACTTCCTAGGTGCTAGGAATAGATTTTGTTCTAATAAAGGGGTGTTTGGTGAGCTCCTGGATAGGGACAGGTCACCAGAAAGACAAAGTCTTGCTCAGAAGCTTGGAACTTTCAGCTAATTCCCCCTCCTCTGGGGGTAGGGGGGAGGAGCAGAAAGTGAGCCAGTAGTCTCCTCTAAAACATGGGATTCAGGGACTATCCAGTGGTGAACATGTGCACGTGCAGGGGGCTGGTCCTGGGACCCTTCAAGATTTTTGCCTTACTCGGGGGGTGAGGAGATAGCTCAGTGGGTAAGAACCCTACTCTGAAGGCATGAGGACCTAAGTTTGAATCTCTAGTACCCACAGAAATGGCTGGGTGTGTCCATGCCTGTGGAGGGTGGAGACAGGATCGCTGGGGCTTTCTGGACGCAGCCTAGCTCCAGCTTCAGTGAGAGACCCTGTCTCAAAGCAGTACGGTGGACAATAATGAAGCAGGGAACCCGATGTCTTCCTCTGGTCTCTGCACACACATAGGTAGGTGTAGCTGTACACACATGTGAATATACACACACACACTACCTTATGTACCTCTTCATTTGGCTATTTATCTGCATTCTTCATTATGTCCTTTATTATATAATAACCAGTAAGCAAAGTGTGTCCATAGCCAGATATGGTTGTTTTCTCCTTTAATCTCAGCACTCAGTAGGCTGAGGCAAGAGGATTGCCATAAGTTCAAGGACAGCTTGGGGGTAAATAGTGAGTTCCAGGCCAACCTGTCTTGCACCCAGGCCTGCTTACCTGAGTTTGATATCAGGATCCTACAAGATAACAGAAGAGAACCAACTCCGAAGAGTTGTCCTCTGACCTCCACACATGTACACACACACGCACACAGTTCAGCCAAACTAAACCAAGGTGTTTGAGTCTTTTTCAGCCATTCTAGCAAAGCTTGAACCCCAAGAAGATCTCTGACTTATAGTCAGTTGACCAGATGCATGGGTGACAATCTAATCTTGCCACTGATGTCTGAGTGGGGACAGTCTTGTAGGACTGAGCCCTTAAATTATAGGTTCTGATGCTATCTCTAGCCAGATTGGATTGGGTTGAATTGAATGACACAGTTTGTGTCTTCCCAGAATTGAAGAGCTGTAATGGATTGGGGAAAACATCTCCACACAGTTGGTAGCCAATGGAGTGTGGAGAAAAGTGGTTTGCTTTTCCTATACAGATGCCAGGTACTAGAAAATGAGATTATGTGTTAGGTGGTCAAGTTTCAGAACAGGAAATGAAGTGACAGATCTTGAGGTCAAAGTTTAGAAAATGGTGCTTATATTGTCTCTCCAAAACTCAGAGGCTTGAGACTGTCATATCCACATGGCCTCAAGCTCATTCTGTGGGGCAGTTGACTGGTGAATGTGGCTGGAGAAGCATCCACAGTGTACCTGGGTCACATGTCCCAGAGGGCTGGAGACCTTGTCTGGTTTTCTGATTTGACTCTAACTAGCTCAAAGGTAGTCATGCAATCTTTGAGTGACTCACATTCTGAGTTTCAGTTTTTTCAGTGAGCTCATGAAATAAAAGACTATGCCCCTTTAATTCATATGGTTGGGTGGGGGGAATAAATGGAGGTTACAAATGAAGAAAAACACTCCAGAATGCTAGCCAAATTTTAGCCCCAGCCTCCCCCTTCTCCTGATGACCTAGGAGCAACTTCCAGTGGCCAGTGCTCACCCAGTTTCTCCATGATCGACAGCATGTCTTGGCTGCTCTTGACTTTGATGCGAGGTATCATCAGGTAAGTGGGTTGGAACTTGGAGAGCTCCAGCTTCCTCATGATGGCTTTGAAGACAGTGGGGCTGAGAGCTTCTTCCATGTCTTCAAGTTTATGCTTCAGGCTCTGGGGCACCATGATCACAAAGCTCAGGTTGTTGGAGAGCTGCAGCTGCCCCACCTACAGAACAAGAGATGAAGAGTACTGGTCTAACTGTCCTAGTAAGACAAGGGATGAACAGAAGTTTTGGATTATACTTTGGCCAGCTGTGTAATGGTAGGGAAGGGATTTGTTTTGTTTTTAAATATGGTTTTCTTGCAGCCCAGGCTACTAGTTGAGGATGACCTTGAACTTCTTATCCTCCTGTTTCTTCCTCCCCAGGGCTAAGATTAAAGGTGTGTATCATCACACTTAGTTTTATGAGGTGCTGGGGATCCAACCCAAAGCTTCATGTATGCATGGAAAGCACTCTACCAACTGAACCTAGAATTTGGTTTCTTTTTCTTTTTAAAAAAATTATTATTATTTTATGTGTATGAGTGTATTGCCTGCATGTAGGTAAGTGCACCCATGTTGTGCAATGCCGTGGAGGTCAGAAGAGGGCTTCAGATTCCCCTGGAACTGGAGTTATGGACAGTTGTTAGCTGCCATGTGGATGCTGGGATTCGAACCTGGGTCTTCTGCAAGAACAACCAGTGTTCTTAACCACTGAGCCATCTCTCCAGCCCCGGAATTTGGTTTCTTTAAGTCCTGTTCCCTCTATACTTCAAATCACCTCTAGATTACTTCCAATGGAAATATAAAACTATTATTTAAGGGATAATGTCAAGAAAAAGGCCTGTGTAAGTTCAGTGTAATTTTTTCTCAAATATTTTTCATCTATAGCTGTTTTAATCCATGGAGGGAGCGCCCAAGGATACGGGATGCTGGCTGTGTTCCCAGTCAGGATGATGCCATGGATGTATCATACATACTCCGGGGGGAGGAGACTCCGGCCAGCTGAGCTGCTGGTCCAGAGAGGAGATTCTCTGATCTGACAAGCTACCTGCAAGCTGTGCAGAAAGCAACAGGGCTGCAGCTTTCATGAGTCATCAGCAGTGCTGGGGCAGACTTTTCAGTGATGCTGGGGCTTTGAGTCATCTCTGCTCCTCTAAGTAACCCCTCGCCTATACTCTCGTTAGGCGAAACTCATTGGTTCACTAAGTTGGGCTTTGGTGTAATTGTTACTTTGGTCTGTGGTGGGTTCCCTATCTGGGATGAGTAGATGTACGAGTGTGTGTGTGTGTGTGTGTGTGTGTGTGTGTGTGTGTGTGTGTATTGCTCATCTCTCCAGGACAAGTTCTCACACACCAACGCACACATAGATAAATCAATGAGGAAAGAATAGTCAAAAGTAAGCTTCTTGGTGATGTCTTCCCAGCCTCTTGCACTAAGCACCTTCTTTTTCATTCATTGATTTAATTCAGTAAGCACTGAATGGGCATCATTCTGTGTAGCATTGTTCTAAGCACTTGGAGACATAGGAGAGACAAGGCAGGTCCCTGTATGCAAACAGAAAGGCAACATCTCAAATGATTGACAGGCTGTAATCAAATGAGGTAAATAAATGACATAACAGGGTGAGGAGGAAAAAGGCTTCTGCACCAAGGTGACCTTTGAACTGATAAATAATGGAAGGAATAGTCTGTGTGAAGATCTGAGGGACTGGGGTTGTAGCTCAGGTGGTGAGTGCTTGCCTAGCATTCATGAACTGCGGGGTTCGAGTCCCAGTATGGCATCAACCAGGTGTGGTGGCACAGGTCTCTAACCCAGCACTCAGAGAGGCAGAGACTGGGGCTGCAAGTTCTAGGCCAACAAGGGTTACATAGCTGGACCCTGTCTCCAAAACCTTTTTTGGAAAAAGTCCAAACAAAACCCCCAAAACAAACAAACAAACAAACAAACAGAACAACAACAAATCTGAGTGCAGAAGGACCCAGACAGAAGGAAAAGCTAAGGAAAGCTCTCAAGGTGGAAACATGGCTGGCCATCCCAGGAAGACACGCCACGCCTTCCTTACATCCAGTGTTGAGACAGGCACTGAGGGTTCCCTTTGCCTCCCATCTTACAGATCTGCATCTTGCTGTTCTAACAAGGCAAGACTGTCTAGTCACTGGGCATACGATAGCTTACTAACTAGAATCTTCTGGGCTTCATTTTCTGTCTTCCCTCCCTACCCATTGGAATTATATTCTTCAATTTCTGCTAAAAAACTTAAGTCATCGAACACCTGTACACATACACACTTAATACATATCTGCACATACACAGATATCCCTCTAAATATACGTTCATGAAATGCATGCTGTGCACAAATCTATACACACACACACACACACACACACACACACACACACACACACAACTTAGGAAGCTACCAGTCCACCCAGTGGAGTAGCTGCAAAGAATTAATACATGACTCACTTTTTGTCATTTGATGCTGTTCGATGAATGTAGAAACTTTAGAATCATGTCTAGAGTCATGTCTTTCAGTCTAAAATACATAGCCCCTGACTCGGTCAAGGCTAGAGAGAGGAAAAGGAGAAAAGACAGGGTGGAAAAAATGGATGAAAGGAGTAGAAATGAGGAATTTGTATGGGTGCACCCCAAAATAAGGTTGTCACAGAGAGGAAGTCAGGACACTCAGGTCTGAAGTGGGAATGGGATGAGTCAAGAACTTACCTTGGCTTTCAAAGTCTGGTCGTTGAAATGGGCCATAGGGTACTTCTTGCTACTCATCATGGGCACTTTGATCACGGAGTTTTTGAAGTGGAAAGAGCCCATCATTTTTTTTTTCTCAAACGTTTTCTTCCATTTGGCTAACGGGAAGAAAGGGGGGCTATAGTGGAGGTAGGGAAAGGATGAGGAGGTGTTAAAGGCTCCATTAGCAAAGGGTGGATGAAGCTGGGGGACTCAATGCTGGGTGGACTTTGAAGCCAGGAGGGAGGGCAGAACTAGCATGGGCATGCTACCTGGCTGAGGCCTCTCTTACCACTCAGGTAGACAGCATTGAGAAGGACAAGACGGGTGTCAGAGGGCAGGTCATCTAGCAGATGACTGATCTTGTGGTTGGTGTTCTCAGCTACCCAGCTGTTGATGAGTTCTAAGTTGGCATCACTGTCTGTGCCCAGGACTCTAGGGCTGCTGCCATACAGGCTCTGAGAGGCGTTCACAAAGGTATCCCTTATGGCCAGGTCTGAGGAGCAAGTCAAGAATTAGAGGCATGGGGCTGGAGAGATGGCTCAGTGATTAAGAACACTGGTTATTCTTGCAGAAGACCCAGGTTCAAATCCTGGCACTCACATGGCAGCTAACTACTGTCCATAACTCCAGTCCTGGGGATCTGACAGCCTCTTCTGACCTCCGCGGGCATTGCAGGACATGGGTGCCCTTACCTACATGCAGGCAATACACTCATACACATAAAATTAAATTAAATTAAGAATACTGGCTACTCTTGCAGAAGACCTGGGTGTGAATCCCAGCACCCACATGGCAGCTAACAACTGTCTGAAACTTTAGTTCCAGGGGATCCAATGCCCTCTTTTGTCCTCCACAGGTATTGCATGACATGTGTGCACTTACATACATGCAGGCAATACATGCATACACATAAAATAAAAATAATCAATAAAATATTTATTTTTAAAAAAAGCAGAGCATGGTGGCATATCTCCAAAATCCACCTCTTAGGAAGTGGAGGCTAGAGGATGTCCATGTCCACAAGTTTGAGGTCAGTACATATCAACTTAGAGAGAGAGCGAGTGTGAGAGAGAGAACTGGGGATACAGCTTTGTGGTAACACTTGCTTAGCATGCCCAAGGCCCTGGGTTCAATCCACGAAGAAGAAAAAAAACAAGAAGAAAATGTTTTGCTTTTGAGAGATGGGGGAAGAGGAGGAGGAGGAGAAGAGGGGGGGGTTGAGAGAGCAGGGGTGGGGTAGGAGGAGAAGATATTAAGCCAGGCATGGTAGTGCATGCCTATGACCTCAGCACTCAAGAGCCTGAGGCAGAAGAATTGGTGTTAGAGGCCAGCCTTGTCTACATAGCAAGATCCCATTTCAAAAAAACATAATCAGTGCTAGAGAGATGGCTCAGAGATTAAGAGCGCTGGCTGTTCTTCCAGAGGACCCAGGTTTAATTCCCAGCACCCACACAGCAGCTCACAACCATTTGTAACTCCAATTTCAGGAGATCTGACGCCCTCTTCTGCCCTCTGTGGGCACTACATACATGTGGTATACCTAAACACATAGGCAAAACACTCATAGACATAAAAATAAATAAAATGTGTTCTGAGCTTTATTGAGGTATTTGAAAATAGGGCTCTGTTGCATTCAGAGGTTTGAAAATCAGATTTAATTCAATCCCTCTATTTCGGATTTTCATTTCTTTGGTTTATATATATATATATTGAAATATACATATATATTTTTTATGTGTATGAGTGTTTTACCTACATGTATGTAAGTACACCATGTACCTGTCTGGTGCTTGAAGAGGTCAGAATAGGGTGTCAGGTCCCCTGGAACTAGAGTTAAGGACAGTTGTCAGCCACCATGTGGGTGCTGGGAACTGAAACCCAGGTCCTCAGCAAGAGCAGCCAGTGCTCTTAACCCCTGAGCAATCTCTTCAGTCCCTAAAACTCACAATATAAATGAACTCTGGTGAGGCTGGTGGGAGCACAGAGTCCAGCTGGCCTCACCTGTCTCTTGTGGGAAGGATGCCCCTCCCCACAAACCATTCTGATAGCCCATCCCCACCATGACTTCTGAGAAGTTCCGAAGACCCCTCAGGCTCTAGGAAACCATGTTTTAAAACAACTGCATCAGATTATTTGGGAAGTTTCTTATTATTTATTGCTTGCTGATATTATCTACTTAATAATACATGTAAATGATAAATTCATAAAACACAGGAGTTCAAAGAATGAGTCTCAAGAGTCCTTTGGCTTAAAAATTAGCAAAAAATTAATTCTCTGATCTCTAGCCCTGCTGTTAATGAAGACATAGGACTTCCTTATTCTAAAGATGGACGAATGCAAAGGATTTGCCCAGGTTTCACCTAGAGGACAGACCAGCTCCTGGAGCCACTTGAAACTTCTGCTGAGGCTCTTACTCCATCCACAGTGCAATCCCTGTGTCCTCTTTCCTTGGGTGTCCCTTCCAGAATCCTCCACACACACACTGAGCCTTCCCTGGACACTTACCTGGGCTGTGAAAAATCTGAGAGACTGAGGTGACACCCTTGGATGAGAATGCCTTCAGGACCTGGTGGACACAGGCAAAGTCCTTGGGGTAGGAAAGGATGTGCTCCAGATTGCTCTTGGTACTGTTCCCAGCCCCTACAACAAAGAATAGAGATGAGGGCTCTTGGAGGAGGAGTGGGGGACCCACCATTTGGGACTAGGGCTAAGGACTGGGCTGGAAAGGATGGTGTTTCCTGCTACGGGGTGAGGGGATCACAGACAACTGAAGTTGGATCTTCTTTTGGAAGACAAGGGTCAAAAAGATTGGGGTGGGGAGTGTCGAGGAGTCCCACAAGGCTTTGCTAGACTTTTTAAAAAAAATTTTATTTATTATTTTATTTTATTTTTATGTGTATGCATGTATTGCCTGCATGTAGGTAAGTGTACCGTGCTGTGCAGTGCCAGGAGGTCAGAAGAGGCTGTTGGATCCCCTGGGACTGGAGTTACGGACAGTTGTTAGCTGCCATGTGGGTGTTAGGATACGAACCCAGGTCTTCTGCAAGAGCAATCAGTGTTCCTAACTGCTGAGCCATCTCTCTAGCCCAGCTTTCCTAGACTTTCAAATATTCTCCTTCCTTGGTTCTCTACCTATTTAAATCCCATACAGTTTTCAAAGATGGGTCTGACTATTGCCTGCTCCAGGTTCACTTTGATCTAGATGGTTTGGATTTGCAAAGGTTCATCCTATAAGCAGAGGCATTTGAAAACTAATTAGAGGAGAGATCACAAAGTCATAAAAAAGGATGGGTGTTTGGCACCATCTCAGTTGTTCACTGTTAAATACTTACTGTGCACGAAATGGATAAAATATGTCAAGAGTACTTCTTCCCCTCCAGCTATCCTGAATGCTTCTCTCATATTATCTTATTGAATTGTCACCAAGCCTCTTACATAACAAGGATGCTTACTTTTCCTACTGTCCAGATGAAGACACTTAAGTTTAAGAGATTATGTCGGTCCTGGATTTAAGGCCAAAGGGCTAATACATGACAGATGAAGGCCATATTTGAACTGTGCTTTTGGGACAGTAAAGACATTAACTGGACCCAGCTGACTGGAAGGTGCCTCACAGGAGACCCTGATGATGTCCAGGGACAGTTTGGTTGTCACATATGGGGATTGGGGTGCTACTAGCTAGAGTGACTTCAGGAATGGGATCTTTCTTGGGAGCATTCCTAGGATGATCACCCTTCTGAGACTTCACAGCAATCCCATAAGAAAGCTGAAGAGGCCAGGTATGGTGGCACACACCTGTAGTCCCAACACTCGGGAGGCAGAGGCAGGTGGAGCTCTGTAAGTTCAAGGCCAGCCTGGTCTACATAGTGAGTTCCAGGCCAGCTGGGGCTACAAGAAGAACCTGTCTCAAAAAGACCAAAAATAAAAAAAATTAAAAAAAAAAGATAACTGCTTGACTCTGGGTAATTGAAAAAAATGTTGAACTTTCAGCTTTTGGTTTTTTGTTTTGTTTGTTTGGTTGGTTTTTTTTTTTTTTTTTGGTCTTTTTGAGACAGGGTCTTCCTGTAGCCCAAACTGGCCTAGAACTCACTATGTAGACCAGGCTGGCCTCGAATTCACAGAACTCCACCTGCCTCTGCATCCGGAGTGCTGGGATTAAAGACATGTATCATCATGCCCCACCATGCCTGGCATTATCTTTTTTTTTTTTTTTAAGACAGGGTCTCACTATGTAGCACCCTAGTTGCTGGCCTGGAACTCAGTATACAGAGGAAGCTGGTCTTGAACACACAGAGATTCACTTGCCTCTGCCTCTGGAGTGCCGGAATTAAAGGTGTGTACCACAATGCCCAGCTTGTTTTCTTAGTCTTTTGAGGTAGATATTATGGTTTCTATTTCAAACATGAGGACTCACTCAGAGAGGTCACACAGCTACAAAGTAGCATTACCATGATTCTATTTAGGTCTATCTCTGATGGTTTTACTTCCCTTATCGCCTTCCATTTCCTTGAACCACAGCTGGTGACGGGAACCTTGTTTTAGATGTTGTTGATTAATCCTCATGATTTTATAAGCAATAGTGCCTGATTAAATCATTGTTAAATGAAGTGATGGTCAAGAATGAAAAGATATACCACCCCTATCATATAGCCCATTTTACAGCATCCTCCCAGAGGTGTGTCTTCAGAGAAGATGTTTGATTGATGATCCCCATGAAACAGTCTCACATATGGCCTGGGCAGAAATTAGAGTCTTACCAAGCAGGACCTGTGTGAGGAGGCTGGCGATGCTGAATGGGGAGAAGGCCATGTTTGTCTCAGCCTTCTTGGTAGCTGAGAAGGCCTCGTAGAGCTTCAGGGAGAAATCTGTCAAAGCCTCCCCCAGTGTGACCTCTGCAGAGACCCTGTCCAAATCGGAGCAGGGAGAGAGCAGCTCTGGACAGAAAGGTTCAGGAGGGACCTGTGTGGGAGAATCTGTGACTGTGGAGGGTTGGCTGGAAGAATCTGTGGGAGGCTGACTAGGAGAATCTGTGGTTGTAGAGGGCTGGCTAGAAATGTCTGTTGGGGGCTGGCTGGGAGAATCTGTAGGGGGCTGGGAGGCTGGTTGGGTGTACTGGGTGAAGGACTGGGTGTTGAGTTCATCCGAGGTGTCAGACGTTGTTTTGGTTGTTGACCAGGTGGAAGACTCCACTGCACGCTCAGTGTGCTGAACCCAGGCAGCATCTCCAGGGAAGATGCCCTTGCTTTCCTCTTGAGAGCTCAGTGGGTCCTTGATGCTAGGGCTGGTAGCTTCTGGAACTGAGGATGCTCTATCCTGTGGTTCAAGAAACTGGGTTTTATTTTCTTACTGAGCCATGGTCTCAACTACTCCAAGTAGGAAAAGAAGGTGGGGATGGGGAAAACATCATGGACCAGGTAGTCATTTCTGGAGCTGCCCAGCAGGTTGAGAACCACAAAGCTGGGGTTGGTTCTCTGCAGGAGATGAGGGGTAATCAGTATTGTTAACTCTGTTCAGGGACTATCATGCAGGAAGCTGTTTTCTTGTAAATATTTCCTTGTCTTGATTCACTTCCCTGGCTAGTATAGACATTTGAACTTACGGCCCTTCTTTTAGGATAGTGAATTTTCAAAGGGAGGGAGGGAGGAGGAGGAAGGGAGGGAGAGAGGGAGGGAGGGAGGGAGAGAGGGAAGGGAAGGAAGATATAAAACAATAGTATGGTATAGAGGCTCTGAGACAATTCTGACGCTCAAAAGATTACTTAGCAATGTCTGGAGTCACTTTTAGTTGTAAGACAGGGAAGGGGGAAAATGCTACTAGGATCTAATGAGAAGAGACCAGAGCTACTACAAAACATCCTACAATGTGCAAGGCAGTCTCTTTTTTCCCCTTAGTCCCCGCATGAGTTATCTAGATTTAAATGTCAGTAGTTCCCTAGTTGCAAAATGGCAGATTATCCCCATTTCACAGATAAACTTAAGCTGAGATACATTAAGTAACTAGCTGGGGGCTTCCCTCCCAGAAGTGGGAGGCAAAGTGTGTGATTCCAGACCACCTTTGCTCTTCCAGACATCATCAGCTGACCATCCGCCCAAGGGCTCCCAGGGTGCCAGCTTCGGAAACAAGCTATCATGGTTCTCCTCGGTTTGTTGCTTAGTCCTGTCCTCCCACACCGCTGTGGCCTCGCTGCTGTTAACCTCAGTGGGGCCCAGGTTTGTCTGCTAGTCTTCCTTCACGTACATCCCCAAGAATCCCAACCCTCCCTCTCGGCTTTCCATAGACCCCAGCCTGGTAGAGCCTGTCACAGCAGGCGGGGGCTCCTGCTCCGCATGGATGTGTTTTCCACAACGACAGGGTTTTTCTTCATCTTGCTGTCTGTGATCTTGCCAAGCCTGGTTAGTGGGCAGGATGGGGGCTATTTATTCTCTCTTTTATAAACTGAGACAAGGAAGCTGGGAGAAGCGACAGGCCCAAGGCCACTCAGTTATATGCCTTCGAAGATAGAACTTGGTCCCTCTGCGGTGCTGAAGCAAGGACTGTGTTTAACGCATCCCAGAAGTAGCTCCCCTAGGTCCCCGGAGCCTGCAGGGTTAATTCTCAAATTCCCCCACCTCGCAGAGGGGCCACTTACCCCAGACAGCAGCAGAAGTAGGAGGAGGGTCAGCGGGGTCAACCTGGAGGCCATCTGGGCAGCGACGTCAGTCAGTCACTACCTGCAAAGCCAGACAGCCTCAGGCAAGCCTCAAGCTTGGTTGCCTAGCCCATGGGGGCCTCCACCCCATCCCCGGACCGCCCCCATTGCGTTCCGGCTGGTCTCGACCCTTCTAGTGAGTTCCCGCCTCCTCCCTCCGGGGCTACTTTCTCCCAGGCTCCGCCCTCTGTTTTGTTTTCCCCAAACTGCTTCCCTTTCCCGGCACCGGCTGGCCCTCCCTCTCCCTCCAGGCCCAGGTCTGTCCATCTGTTCAATCTGGGGGTCCCGCTTTAGCCAAACAATAAAGCCAGAGCCTGCAGGAGGGGAGGGCCAAAGGGGGCTGAGCAGCCCAGTTCTGAGGGAGGAGGGGTGGAGGAGAAGGCACAAGTCTCTAGTGGAAGCAAGCCTATGGCAGCTGCAGAAATAAAAGGGGGCTGGAAAGTGGGGGAGAAGGAGGCTGGAGACCTCCCAGACCTTTTAACTGTGTTCTCATCCCCCCAAATCCCAGCACCAAACCTGGTCCAAAGTCTTGGTCACTAGGCGGTTTCGGGGCAGACTGAGTAGACAGTCCGTAGGGTCAGTGAGGGTGGGGTGTAGAGGGGGCCAGTCTTAGTCATTGGCTGGCCCAGGACACTGCCTAGTTACAAATTAAGGATGATTGATCGCTGGTGTGAGTTCCGGTAAATCAGCATGGGACGGGCCTGGTCCAGTATTGTAGGCCAGGCTAGGAGTTTAGCCTGCTCCTGGTGAGTGGGGTGGGATGGGGTGGAGAAGCTTGGGTGCAGCTCTCAGCTCTGCACAATGAAACATTCCTCCAGTGTTTCATGGATCAAGATAAAACCAGGAGGAAGGCAAAATGTATGCTGCATTGACAAGACATGAGCTTTTTCAGAATTGCTCATCTGGGATGATGGGTAAAATAAACCTTTTGAAATAGGCCTCACTGTGACCATTTGCTAGTTCAGAAACCTGGCCTTAGGAGCAGTCTGCTTCAATGTCACCCTCCTTTGGAGATGAGCTGGGGTTTGGCTCTAAGTCCTCTAAAGATCTGACATCTGCCCAGTCCTCCCCATCCCTGTAGGGGTTACTCCCATTTTCCTCTTGGAGAAACAATCTGTAGTTCTGTGTGTGTAACAGAGAATCTGAGGCTCCCAGCTGAGCCCTAGTTTCAACCCCAGTGCCACAACAAAGCAAAACAACAACCTAAAAAGAAAGGGAAACAAAACAACAAAAACCTATCAACAATCAAACACCCCCAGACAAACAAATTCCCTGAGGTTTATGTAGTTGTGGTTGGGATACCACAATAGACCTGACTTGTGAGATCCAGCTTGCTGTAGGACCCTTGCAACAAGGAGCCCAGTTAAATGTGAATTTCACATGTAGAGCAACAAATTTTTAGTACACTTGTACCCCATGCAATCTTGAAATATACTTATGATAGAAATGTTTTTGTTGTTGTTATTGGGGCTGGAGAGATGGCTCAGCAGTTAGCACTGACTGCTCTTGCAGAGGACCAGGGTTCAACTCCCAGCACCCACATAGGGGCTAACAATCATGTGTAACTCCAGTTCCAGGGGATCCGATGTCTTCTGATCTCCTTGGGCATTGCACAACACAGGTGCACTTACACACATACAAGCAATATACTCATACACATAAAATAAAAATAATAAATAATGGGGCTGGAGAGATGGCTCTGTGGTTAAGAGCACTGACTGCTCTTACAGAGGACCAGGGTTCGATTCCCAGCACCCACATGGTGGCTACAAACCATCCTTAACTCCAGTTCCAGGGAAATCCAACACTCTCTTCTGACCTCTGCAGCATTGCATGATGCCCGTGTACTCACATACTGAAGGAGAGTGCTCCTCAGAACCCCCCCATCCTCTGAGAAAGAGCTGCCCTCCGCCTGACTCTGGAAATCCCCTAGATTGTTCAAGCCCTTTCTTGATACATCTGTTTATGGTTTCTATGGAAATGGTCTAGGGGCAGGAGAGGAAGAATGTTCTGCCCCAGGTAAGCTAGTCAATGGCTGTATAGGTTAAGGCTCTGGAAATCAGCCCTAGATTGTTCGAACCCTTTCCTGGTAAATCTGTTTATGGTTTTTATAGAAATCCCCTGCTCTGCGGTTTTTGTGCTTAAAAACCCTGTGTTCCCATGGCTCTGGGTCACAGTGTAACTCCTGAGCTTGCCTGTGTCCCCGGCCGGTCAGTTTCAATAAAGCAGTTAAGTTCTCCTGAGTCTCAGTGTCTGAGTGGTCAATTCAGGGAATATTTTCGGACCCCAAACATTTTGGGGGCTCTGTCCGGGATTCCCTAAAAGACCCTCGGTCTGTTTTCCTGTCTTTTTGTTCTCCGTTTGGTGCCCAACGACATCAGATGTGGTTTCTCCCATGGTGAGCCTGTTTTGATTTCTGTTCTGGGTGTCTGGATGTCTGGGGGCTCAAGGGAGAGAAACTGGACGCAGTATTGCTCTCCAAGCTGGAGGACGGGGGACGCTCCAACCTTCCATCTGAATGGTTGACCACTTGTGCCCTCTGGGCCTTCAACCCTAACTGCTCTCACAGCAATTCTCTGATGGATGCACAGCACATTTATTCTGTGTCAGTCAAGTCTTGAATGGATCTACCCGATCTGTCTGTTTCTTGTTTGTCTTTGTTTCGGCATAATCCTTTTCTTTTCCATCATGGGTTAATCCCCTTCATCTGAAGACACTCTCCTTGACTTAATTCTTTCTCATTTTAAGGATTTCCAGAAGGTGGCCACAATCTCTGGAGACTCTGTCTATTCGGGGAAATTCTGTACCCTTTGTTCTCTCGAATGGCTGTCTTTTGATGGTGACTGGCCCCCCACTGGGTCCTTTGATGTTAACAAACTTTCTTCTGTTCAGGCCATGATCCTGAGAAACCCAGGACACCCTGACCAGGTCCCCTATGTTATGGCTTATTTTTACCTCTTGGACAAGCCTCCCAAATAGTTAAAACCCCATTTACCCCCTTTTCCCTTGAAGCCCTCCCTTCTGTCTCTGGGGCCCCAACAGCCTCTTCATTGGTCTCACCCACCTCCTGTCCTTCCTCCTTCAACAGAGGACCCCCTTTTAGACCATCCCCCTTATTTTCACGCCCCCGTCCACTGCCCCTTCTTCTTCAGCCTTTCCTGTCTCTCCTCCTTCTCCTGCCTCTACTGCCACTCCTTCTTCTCCAACCACCCTTCCAATCTTTACCCCTCCCCACACACATTTGACCAGCCCTATAGGCCTGAGATGACCCCTGCCATCCTTCCCCTCTGTGCTATGGACCTGCCGGATTCCTCTGGCTGCAGTTTTCTTGTTTATTCTCCTTTCTCAACCAGTGATCTTTATAACTGGAAATTACAAAATTCTCCTTTCTCTGAAAAACCCCAGGCTTTAATTGGGCTCCTGGAGACTACCTTTCTTACCAGTCCACCTGGGATGATGTCCAACAACTCCTTCTCACCCTCTTCACCACTGAGGAATGCACCTGGATCCTCTCTGAGGCCTGGAAATAGGTACCAACTGAAAATGGCTGATTTACTGAGGATCCTGAGGTGATTGAGGAAATTTTCCCTCACCACCACCCAGATTGGGATTCCAACACTCCTGCAGGTAGGGAGTCACTCAAACTCTACCACAGATTCTTATGGGGGGGTCTCCAGGCTGCTGCTAAAAAGCCTACGAATTTGTCAAAAGTCAGTCAAGTTTTGCAGGGACAGACAGAGGCTCCAGCACAGTTCCTGGAGAAGCTTATGGAGGCCTACAGGGCTTACACTCCTATTGATCCTGAGGTGTTAGAAAATCAATGAGCAATAAACATCGCCTTCGTGACCCAGTCTGTTCCTGATATCTGGAAGAAATTGCAAAAGTTGGAAGGCTTCGAAAGTAAGAGTCTCTCTGAATTGCTTGAAGTCACCCAAAAAGTCTTCAATAACCATGAGACCCAGGAGGAACGTGAGGAACGTCACAATCAAAAACTGGCACCAGCTTTGGCTCTAAGAGAGGGTGAACACCCCCCCAGAAGATATCTGCCAAGAGATCAGAATTGGCAGAGGGGACCAGGCCCTTGGGCTGGCCCCCTAAAAAGAGACAAATGTACCTACTGTAAGGAGATGGGAAATTGGCTAAGAAATTGTCCTCAAAAATGCGAGGGAACTCAAAAGGTACTTGAGCTAAAAGATTGAGGGGGTCAGGGCTAGTCTCCCCTCCACAAGCCCTGGCTAACCCTGAAAGTGGTGGGGGGGAGGCCTATTGACTTTCTGGTCGATACTGGAGCCACCTTTTCAGTTCTGAAGAGACCCCCCCCCTTGGGCCCCTGACAGGATGACAAACTTTTATTCAAGGGGTCATGGGTGGCTGTACTTACCCTTGGACCACCAAAAGGACTGTTGACTTGGGCACAGGGAGGGTCCAACATTCCTTTATGGTTATCCCTGACTTTCCTTACCTGCTGCTGGGCCAAGACTTGCTAAGTAAACTCAATGCCTCAATCCATTTTGATAAATGTAAGGTCAATGTAGACACCACTGGGTTTGTTCTCACCCTGCAGGCTGAGGACAAACACTGTCTTCATGAAGGGCCCCCTCTGGACCAATTGCTGTCCCTAACTGCTAAATTGATGCAGGAGATCCCTCAGGTCTGGGCTGAGGGAAGCCCCCCAGGATTTTCAGCCCACCAACCACCCATGATGGTCTCTCTGGAAGCCACTGCCAGCCCAGTCCAGGTATGACAATACCCGATATCCTTTGAAGCATGAGCCTCTATGCAGGTTCACCTAAAAAGACTGTGGGAATCTGGCATCTTAGTCCCCTGTCAATCCCCTTGGAACGCCCCCCCACTCCCTGTGAAGAAACAAGGGACTAATGATTATAGACCCATGCAGGATCTGAGAGCGGTGAATGAGAGTCAGGGACATACACCCCACTGTGCCTAATCTTTACACCCTCCTGAGCTCCCTGGCCCTTGACAGGATGATTTATACCATCCTGGATTTGAAAGATGCTTTTTTCAGTATCCCCTTGGACAACGGGAGCCAACCATCTTTGCCTTTGAATGGTAAGATCCTGAAGAAGGGTTCAGTGGCCAACTGACCTGGACAAGGCTTCCACAAGGGTTTAAGAACTCTCCCACCATTTTTGACAAGGCCTTGCATGAAGACCTCCGAGGATTCCAAACTGCCCACTCCCAAGTTTCTCTTCTGTAATACATAGATGATTTGCTCCTCGCCACCTCTGACCGCCCCTCTTGCCTAGAGGCTACAAAAGACTTGTTGAAGGAACTTCAAGGCCAGGGGTACAAGGTGTCAGCTAAAAAGGCACAGATCTGCCAGGAGGAGGTACAGTACCTGGGGTTTCAATTGGAAGGGGGTATGCACAGGCTCTCCTCTGCAAGGAAAAAGGCCATCCTGGACATCCCTGTTCCCCGAAGTCAAAGACAAGTCAGAGAATTCCTGGGGTCAGCTGGATATTGTCACCTGTGGATACCTGGTTTTGCAGAGCTGGCCAGGCCTCTATTCGAGGTAACAACGGGGGGGACCCTCAACATTTTCCTGGGGAGAAGAACAACAGCAGGCCTTTCACAACTTAAAACAGGCCTTCACTTCTAGCCTAGTTCTACCTGA